GAGACTCCAAGGCGCATGCAGCAATCCCAGAGAAGACGGGCCTTCAGCTCGAGAATCGGAGACGGCACCAATGGCCGAAGAGAGGGCCGCGGGGCAGGTGGCCACGAGTGGCGACGGGGGGCGCCGTTCGCCCGCCGCCTCTCCCGGAGTTGACAGCGCTGAACACTCTTCGTATGGGCCTTCAGCCCGAGAAGCTTTCAACGAGACAGCAGCTGTGATCGACCCAGCAGCCTGGGGCGCTCCGCGCGGGCGCCTCGGCGCTGGAGTCGATGCAACGGTCAGTCAATTCCTTGGACACCCCCGTAATCCCGAAGACTTTCGTCAGCCATCCGCCCCCCAGTCGGACAGCCGCTGCCCTCAGCCCGAGATTCTCATACTGAACGAGCCTTCAGCTCGAGGGTCCTGGACGCAGCGGGATGCAGCAGAATGGACATAGAGGATGGGCCTTCAGCCCTAGGAGCGACCTTTGACACCGCAGAACGGGCCTTCAGCTCGAGACTCCAAGGCGCATCCAGCAATCCCAGAGATGGCGAGCCTTCAGCTCGGGAATCGGAGACGGCACCAATGGCCCTCGGGAGTGCCGCTGGGTGTGTGACGCCCAGTGGCACGCACCCAGTGGCACTGCCTGCCCTCGGCCCCGCCTTGCGTCCAAAAGGCTCGCGCCTTCACTCCGCCGAACGCCCCCTCCTGGGCGCCTCTGCGCAGAGAGACGCAGCCTTCAGCTGCGAATCCAACATGGGAGAGGGGCCTTCAGCCCGTGGAGCGTTCTGTGACACAGCAGAGCGAGCCTTCAGCTCGAGGCCCCAAGGTACTACTGACAACCTCAGAGTGGGCGAGCCTTCAGCTCGAGAATCGGAGACGGCGCCAGTGGTAGTCGAGAGGGCCACGGGACATAAGGCCACGAGCGGCGACGGGAGGCGCCGCTCGCCCGCCGCCCTTCCTGGAGTTGACGGCGCTGAACACACAGAGAACGGGCCTTCAGCCCGAGGAGCCTTAAGCGAGACAGCTTTGATCGACCCAGCAGCCTGGAGCGCCCCTAGTGGGCGCCTCGGCGCTGAAGTCGATGCAGCGACCAGTCAACTCCCTGGGCGCCCCCGCAAACCCGAAGACTTTCGTCGGCCATTCGCCCCCCAGTCGGACAGCCGCGGACGCGGCGGGCCCTCCGCCCGAGATTCCCATACTGAACGAGCCTTCAGCTCGAGTGCCCTGGACGCAGCGGGACGCAGCAGAATGGACGTAGAAGATGGGCCTTCAGCCCTTGGAGCGACCGCTGACACAGCAGAACGGGCCTTCAGCTCGAGACTCCAAGGCGCATGCAGCAATCCCAGAGAAGACGAGCCTTCAGCTCGAGAATCGGAGACGGTGCCAATGGCCGAAGAGAGGGCCGCGGGGCAGGTGGCCACGAGTGGCGACGGGAGGCGCCGCTCGCCCGCCGCCTTTCCCGGAGTTCAAGGCGCATCGGGATGCAGCAGAGCTGACATAGAAGACGGGGCTTCAGCCCTCAGAGCGACTTGGGACGCAGCAGAGCGGGCCTTCAGTTCGAGGCCCCAGGGCACGGCCAGCAATCGTAGAGAAGACGGGCCTTCATCTCGAGAATCGGAGACGGCACCAATGGTAGTCGAGAGTGCCGCGGAGCACGCGGCCACGAGTGCTGGCGGGAGGCGCCGCTCGCCCGCCTCCCCTCCTGGAGTTGATTGCGCTGAACACACAGAGAACGGGCCTTCAGCCCGAGGAGCCCTCAGCGAGACATGGGGGGCCGATCGACCCGGCAGCCTGGGGCGCCCCAACCGGGCGCCTCGGCACCGCGGTCGCCGCTATGACCAGTCAACTCCCCGGACACTCCCGCAACCCCGAAGACTATCGTCAGCCACCCGCCCCCCAGTCGGACAGTCGCGGGCGTGACGCGCCCAACGCTACGAGGATCTCTGTCAAAAACGCCGTCGGGGCAGGTTCCCTGGGCGATCGGATCGATCACCCCAGACCTCCGATCGCCACGGTCGGGCCGCCCCGTGCCTTCTCTCCCTCGCCCACCTCCTCCTCTCCCAATTTTCCCCCCCCCGACCCACCTCCTGGGCTGGGGCGTCTCGGTGGCCTCAATGGCGGCCGCGGCCGCGGCCGCCAAGATCCGCCTCAAGAGCGGGATCGAGGGCCCCTCCTATGGACGGACAGCGGCTCTCCTTTCGTGTTGAGACACGCGGCCTCCGGAGGTCCCTTCGCGGCCGACCCGCCCTCCTATCCCTCCCCTGACCTCGCCCTGGAAGAAGAGTTGCGGAGGGAAAATCAGTCTGCCCCCTCGGAAGGCGAGGGCCCCAGCCAAGCCCAGAGAGACAGAGGGCAACGCGCTGCTGACCTCCGCGCTCGATGGCTGGATGCCACGGGGCACGCGAACGCTGGCTGGGCAGCCAGTCGGGGGGCGGACGGGCCCATGTGTGGCCCGCGCGTGGCTGACGCCAGGGTCACTGGCAGGGGAGGTACCGTGAGCGCCCTTCGCCGCCACCTCGTGCGCATCGAGGGCCCCGCGCGAGACCAACAACCTTGAGCTCCTCACGCACCACGCGTGGAGGGGGCACCGCCCAGGCCACCCAGGCATACGAGCAGGCAGCCCCATGCGCGCGTCTTCGGCAGAAGCTCCCCTCCCTGGACTGGGCTCGTTCGGCTTGCG